CAGTTCCCACACTGTCCCATACACAGTCCTCACACTTCCCCTTACACAGTCCTCACACTTCCCCTTACACAGTCCCCACACTGCCCCACACACAGTCCTCACACTTCCCCATACACAGTCCCACACTGTCCCATACACAGTCCTCACACTGCCCCATACACAGTCCCATACTGCCCCATACACAGTCCCGACACTGTCCCATACACAGTCCTCACACTGCCCCTTACACAGTCCCCACACTGCCCCTTACACAGTCCCCACACTGCTCCATACACATTCCCCATACTACGCTATCCACAGTCCCACACTGCTGCATACGCAGTCCCCACACTACCCCATACACAGTCCCCACACTGCCCTATCCACAGTCCCCCTACTGCTGTATCCACAGTTCCCCCCCACCCCCCACTGCTCTCTCAGTTTGTCCTGAGGGGTGATACATCAAAATCAGGTTACAGTTTATGGGTAAAATGTTTGGGGAACACTGTTTTAGAGCAGCGAGCTGGCAAATGTGAGGCCACAGATATGAACTAACAGAGGAGAACTAAGTTTCACCAGCATCTGCAAAATACTATATTAGATAACAAGGAGAGAACTTTGTAAAAGGTGTCTACAACTGGTTGTAAAAGGTATTTACCCCATGTAGTTTTGTTGCCACTTTCTCTCCCTATAATATTACTCTGCATGCTAACAAGTATTAAGTGCTGAGGGATGAATCACAAATATGTTGAGGGAGGAGAGGTTGGTGATTTATGTGCCAGTAAGTAATTTAGTAAGTCTCAGTAAATTAACATTAGTTTACATTAGTTTAAAACTGGTTAACTACTTTAACACTGGGTATTGTTACCTCCCAAAAGTTATTAACTGAGCCTATGCTTCATGGCTGTAGATTGTAGAATATAGAACAAATTTATAATAGAGGAGTTAGAACTTTCTAGCTCCTCCCAGCGACAGTCATCTATTTATCAGTGGTTGGAACTATTCCAAAATGTCCAAGTTACTCCTTTCAGGCCAACTGTCTTATACAACAAGAGCGAGAGCAGTA